AATCGTTCGGCAAAAACCGAAAACGGATTTGAGCTCAGCGTCGCAAGACGCGTGCATCGGACTACACCTCATTACAAATGGCCGGACCGACCAATTGACCATTCCTTGTCAGTGGATTGTTAGATCAACCTGGATTATGCAAGCCATGGTTACTACTGTGAAACGTTGTTTTCAGTACCACGAGAAGACGTGTATTCGGTTTGTGCCTCGGTCTGGCGGTGAACCTGATTATTTATTCATCGGGAAAGTGGACGGGTGAGTTGCAAAAAAGGGTAATAGCAGAAATCAGCAGTTATTCGGTCAATTTCAGCCAAGAGTCAAATGGAACTGGAATTTTCTTTCGACCTTTACAAGTTCAAAAATCATGATTCAATAAATGCTTGGAATTTTGAACGCACCTAAGTACTGGTCGTTTCAGTTGCTTTTCCGAAGTCGGTCGAACATCCGGTGTGCAGGTGCTGTCGTTGGACAACGGCTGTATGGAATACGCCACGATCATCCACGAGATGATGCATGTCGTCGGATTTTATCACGAGCATGGTACGTAGGGATGAGACGAGAAAACTATCTGGAATATCGGTATTAAGTTGGGCTAATGGTCCCTCACCCGGCACAGCGACTGCATACTCAGTCTCCTGCTTCACACATTAATAATCCAATAGAAATAAGGGCGCTCATGTCTTTGGGGAGGGGGGGGACATTCAAATATGGCCGATGGAAGGTGACACTAGGACTAAGCACAAGAGAGTGGAGAAACGCTGGGAAGAACACAAACTGCTCAGATCCTCTTCCAGAATCCCTTTTCTCCCAATCACTGTAAATGGTTCACTCAATTGAATGTCCCCCCCCCCCCCCCCCCCCCACCCCCACAACAATGGCCGATGTCAGACTTTGCGATTGGAGCGATTGTGCACATGTTGCAGGAGCGACGGATTGCTTGGAGCGACGGGAGATTTACACGGCCGACACGATAATTCGGCGCCATCAGTTCGTAAATCTCCCTGTCGCTCGCATCGCTTCAAGCGATCCGTCGCTCCTGCAATTGGTGCAAAATCGCTCCAATCGCAAAGTCTGACATCGGCCAATTTACAAAAAGCAGTTGTTCATCATACATACACGTCGTTAGCACTAAAGAAAAAAACCCTTGGAAAATGCAAATTAATGGGCCGATATGATCAACCTGCGGCTTAGACAGTTGCTAGGAATTCCAAGCCGAACAAACTTCCCAGAACATTCTCAAACAGTGAAGTTAATGTCCGATCGAATGAGTCGTTAAATAATACCATTTTCAGAGCGGTGGGATCGCGATAACTTTATCGACATCATCTGGCAGAATATCGACAGAGGTAGGTTTGTCTTTACAATTACTCCAGAAGAAAGCAAAAACCCCCGAGAAAGAGAAATCGGCTCACAATTTACCGCGTTTTTCTGTTTTCACAAGTTTTCGTCCAGTAATTCAAGTGTCGCCAGCTTGTTGCAGGTGCACTGACCAGTTTGGAAAGGTAGATTTGAGTAAAACATCTTACTATGGACAACCATACGACTACAAATCTATACTACACTACGACAGTCTGGCATTTCGAGCTATAAGAACTGCGCTTTTTCGACGATGTTACCGAAACAAAAATGTAGGTATACCCTTTACTCTAGGGAATAGAAGTAATTTGGCTGATAGAGATGGCCTGAAAAAAAAAATTGAAAGGCCAGTCCACTCTAAGTTTAATTGGGCGCGTATTCACTTAAAGGGGTGGCTTCTGGGTTGCTTACCACTTTCGATTCTTGGTGACATTTTGTAGCATTGGGGCGTGGGTCAATATGGTGCGATTCCCATTGGTGTTTGGAGCCGCAAAGGGCCGCATCTATAAAGACAAGGGGTCGCTCAACGCGTGTCGCGCGCGTATCCCGTAATGGGGCGCGAATACAGGGTTGCAAGAGAATTCCGTAATTCCTCGACAAGTCCATCCTCATACGCCTATTCCCTTGGACTGGAAAATGAGCTTCCTGCAACCTAATGTCACTCTATGACATTACTTCTGACAAATATTTCCTGCAACTACTTCTCTCTATTCAGGTCACAATTTCACCAAGGAAGACAAGTGTGGGTGGTGTTGTAAGTTTTGACTTCTTATCTGGGAGGCGAAATCCTTCATTGTCTTCACTCCTGAACACTTCCGATTGTAATTGTGGTGGTCACGAACTGAGGTATCGTGAAGACTCCATTTTCACGTCGAAAGTGTGCAGTCTATTACCAATTACTGGAATGCCCCATTTTTTCAACCACTCGTCTCGCTGTTATACGACATCTGACATTTTAATTCCACCGCGACCTCAACACCGTTTCCTTTTATGCTGTCACCCTGTGATCTCGCCAACACCGACTTTCCCCAATGTATTTTTCAATTTCCAGTTTCCGTGCCATCACTCTTGGTGTGTGAAAGGCATTGAATGACCTCGCAGAGAGCACATAACTGGATCGCTTCAAATTGCTGGATTCCCGACTTTGCGATTCTTGTCATCCGAAAGTTGAAGTTGCTAGATTCCAAGTCCAATCTCTTCATCCCACACCCATCGCAGTAGCTTCAACTGGTCTCAAGGCTTACATGGATTTCCAGTGCACAAACTTGGTAGCTTGTGGAGAATCCCAAGAAACTGCTATCATTTGGGTCTAAGATTACATACTTTTTCAGTCTTTTTCATTATATATGTAGCACCTAACCTAATCACGGCTTCAACGGTTTCAATCGGGATTGTCATTCTATGTGTTAGGAGCCGGTGGTCTTCGGGTGTAGACGCCGGTTTTTCGATATTGCGTTTCACACCAAATTTCACACCTGGCGTTGTTCCTTTCTCAAGGCTTGACTAAGCCTTAGGACAACGAGCAACACCGAGGTGGATGAGCAATCCCATTTGCTTCGAAGTTCCTCCAACTCCAAAATCGGAGTGCCTAGACGACTCACGTACACCTAATGTTCACAGTCGTACATATATACACATATTTACCACCAATGCTTAATATTTTGTACAAAACACTCATGCGTGTGTTCACGTTCATGCTTGATCTTACAAACTATGAGTAATTATGAACCCTGTAAGCTAGTATACTTACCTTTGAACGGTTTATTTGATTTTAGTATGTAAAAGTGAGAGATTCACGAGGCTCGAATCAAAGCGCTGAAGGAGCCAAAGAAGACTGACATGCTCAGAAAATCGCAAAATGTTCCAGAGCAAACAGTCTAGTCTAGCACCAACAGCCCAAAACCTTGCATGGAGAGCCAATCACGAGTTTTGCGGATCCTCGCACGCATAAAACGTAGGCACATCTGCTTAAAATATGACATCGGAAGTTGATTAGCAGCTTGGGGCACAGCAACTCACTGGATCGTGTCTGGTTGGCAACCAGCCAAAGGCGCCGCACGCGACACGCGTCGCACCCCCCAATGTACTTATAGATAGCACCCGTAACGGCGTAGTTATCACATCCTGCAGTGGCCGGACAACTTCGTCCGCAACACATTCTGTTCCGTTCCTCTAGCCTTGGCATCAGGACAGCGAAGCTATTCGCTCTTTTTTAGACCTTTGGGACTCAGCGAGATTTTTGAGACCAAATTATCAGATCGATCAATTACTGAAGTCAAGTAGTTGAGTGATACGGACGAGTTGTCCGGGCGCAGCAGGATGGACAATTGCGGCCTGTGCGCTCTAATGCCAATGGTGATCGCGCCATATGACCGCCTCCCGGGGCATTTTGATGCAAGGTCAAGTGGCTGCCCTTACCCCCCACCCCCTAGACTGCCCTCACTCCCCCTGGCTCACAGGGTCCCATACTTCGAGAAACCTGTGCGCCAGGGGGAGTGTAAGCAGTCTAGGGGGGTGGGGGGGGGGCAGGGTGGGAAGGCCTAGCGCCACTTGATGCCCCCTTACTGGATAGATTCAATAATTGCATACCTGATTGGACTCAAAAGTGTTAAGGATGATGATAAGCGTTGTTTATGGGGTCCTCGTATAATCACTTGAGTGTCGCTTCACCCTTCTGGCTATTGATCCGATCGATAGATCACACGGGCTCCGTAGATCAGCATGGAAACTGACAATGATGTAAATCAATACGCATATTTTGCATGAAATGCACCAATTTTTAATTCTACTCAAGGAACTGTTTGATATGTTCTTTCACGTTCCGACAAGTACGAACAGGATTATAGCGAACCAGTTGAACTTGACATTCGCGACCCATCGTGGCGCAGGGCAAACATGGCATTGAAAACCACAGGAAAAATTTCTAGGGTACCAAACAGTAAGCGGAAAAGGTGGGGGGGGGGGTGAAGGGGGTATGAAGTGCAACGTTCGTGTCACCTAGAGTTGTACAAGTTTTTGGAGGGGTAGGAAATTCTAGGTGGGTGTAAAAGAGGAAGCGAAGAGGAAGTGGTTAACGCACCCGTGGTTAAGCTCCTCCTGCAAAAATTACGATCTTTTGTAGCCGCCGGCAGCAACTATCGCACAACATGCCCCTCCTAATTATTGAAAGGGCCCCGATTTCCATTTTCTACTCGCTGTTTGCACAAGAAAACTAGTTTACTCTTCGAAGTTCCTCCGATGAAAAAAATGGAATCACCGTTACCAGGACGCACTGTAGGGTCCTACACTTGCGCACACCGCTGCCTCATTCAGATAACGAGATCGCAAACGTCAGTAAACACTCTGGGAGGCGGAGTTAGTTTTGAGGCGGAGCCAGTTCTAGGTTGTAACTTAATTACCTTGCTGAACCACCGTTGAAATGCTGCACTTCTCTCTTTCGTCTCCCGCTCCGCCTTCACTGATGCAATTTGTACCTCTTGTGTATATCCGCACTTTTCACTCGCAATCTTAAAGGCGAAGTACGGGCTCAGACCTACTCAAGAAGCCCTTACCGTGGAAAGAAGTGCTAGGTACGCAAGTGCAGAGGTCGCGCCACTTTTTTACATCAAAAGGAGCTACTAAGACGCTAGACGCTAAGGACTTTGGCAGAGGAGGCGGTCATATGGCGCGATCCCATTGGCATTGGGGCGCACAGGCCGCAAATGCCCCATCCTGCTGCGACCGGACAACTCGTCCGATCACTTCAAAGGAGATCTTCCGCGGAAAAAGCTCCGCCTTACCACTAGAAAAACGATACCCCTTAGGCCCCTAGCCTCATGAGCATAGCAAAAAGAACGGAACATAAGCGTTAGTTTCGATAATACTAATCCTACACACAAGACAAAATGATCACTCTTTCCGTGGAAGATTCCTTTAAGGTATCGTTTTCTGTGGTAATGAGGGCGGAGCTTTTTCCGTGGAAGATTCCCTTTCAACTACTGACGACTTCGTATAATGTATGCTATACTGATTAATCCTTCTGTGGTGTCCCAAAATCATAAAAATAGAGAAGATAGTTTCTGCCGGCCCGATGGTCAAATCAACAGGAACGGAACATACCCCCGCCTTCAAATGACCAGAAATTGTGCAATTGCAGAAATTGACGTGGCATTAACGTGGCATCGATTCAAGAACATCTTTGAGCACACGTGATGTCACCTTTTCATCGAGAAGGTAGCCTGTTTCATGGAGCCAGAAACCCACGTGGCACACGTGGCTAAATTCTCGATGAAAAGGTGACATCACGTGTGCTCAAAGATGTTCTTGAATCGATGCCACGTTAATGCCACGTCAATTTCTGCAATTGCACAATTTCTGGTCATTTGAAGGCGAGGTATGTGCTTGCGGACGAGTTGTCCGCCACAGCACGAACGTGTAATACTACTGTGGCCCTCCGATCAATGGGACCGCACTATATGACGGCACACACTCCATCAAGACTGTCAATGCTCCGCCCACCGTTCGAGTACGTCGCAATGTTGTTTACCTCGCACTGACTCTCTCTCTCGTGGCTTCTCTACCGCTCTTACGCGCTCGAACATTATCTGCGCATTCTCTCTGCCTACCTTTTGAAACATTCACCGAGCGGTACGGCAAAAAAGCTGCTTTCTTGTGTATCTTCACGATTCTCTCCTTGTTTTGACCCACTCACAAGTCCACCAGGGTCTACCTAAAAGGTTGGGACTGTATTGTGAAGAAGCTTTTACGACTGCCTGCTTCTAAAATTCATATGAGCCCATTCTTCTCCAAACTTTTTTACCTCAACAAACACAGTGATGTGGGGGAGGGGCTATACCTGAAGGAGCAAACTTTTCCAGCGCTGCTACCCCTCATTAATGTAATTCGTGCTACCGGAAAAACTACTGCACCAAACATCAAAAACTAGAACCCCAGCCGTTGTATTGTCCCAACGTGGGGATGACCTTGAGTCCACCGCCCATCCCTATTAGTGGAATCAACACGATGGTTGGAGGGTGATTTTGATGACGTTATCGAATGTAATTTGAGGGAAGGTCGTCAGTGGCGGTCCATCACATCCCCGTGGCTGACAGGGAGTTCCTTTCGAGGGCAAGGTGCGGTTTTCTGGAAACGGTTCCGAAATGTATTTCAGGGATGCATGTATAAGACAAACCATGGTTTGTTTCTTCGGCTGAACGATTTTAGTAGTCCCAAAAGTTGGTGACATAATCTATACGCGATTTGGCACCAAACCGTAGGCGCCAACCCAAATGCAAAATTTAGTCGCCACGGGGATCGAACCCTTAACAGTACCTTATGCTTCTTTTTTGGTACTGCTATAACCGTTCAGCGAAAATGAAACATGGTTTTGCGTTCCCTACATGCGTCCCTACAATATGCACAAAACCGTTTTGAAAAAGCGCACCTTGCCCTGAAAGACCTCCCGTGAGAGCCTAGTTCACCAGTGACGTTTAATGGCGTCATCAAAACAATACCACCCTCCAGCAATCCGTAACTTCGTACGAAGTTCGCTGAATGGTTACTTTTTCAAGAACAATCTTTTTAAAGGCACAACCCAGGCAGAGGTTTTTTATAACTCTTCTCTTCGGTCAGAAGTATAGAACCCTAGGGGACAATCACAAATGTGGCGTTCACGTGCACGGAATTCGACCGACAAGAACGCTTTGGGCTTGCAAAGTAAGCTGCTCGAGCTGCAGCGAACGAGCTCTCTTATCAGGCCGTTGTCTGGTGCTCTCTCATCTGATGCGCTCTCTCGCCCCATACTCTCCTCTTCGCGCTTAGTCTCTCGTTCCTTTAGCACAGCCAATTAGGAAGGTGAGTGAGCCCTCAACCTGAGCGTTTTCGACGGATTCTTTTCCTTTTTTCTTCACTGCCGGCCCACTTGGCACCGATACATTCACATTCGTGTGCAAGAGCCACACCAGTGCGATCCTGGGGCATGCCTTTAAAAGCCACGTCCACTTTTAGACCGTACAAAGCCTTTTAATAACTGAGGAAGAAATCAAAAGAAGAAGCTGATCTGGTTCTTCTCATTTTTATTGTGTTTTGAATGGTCAGTAGAAGGAATTTGTTTGAAAGCCTTCACCAAAGGCCATCCATCGTTCATCCTGGCTTTTCTTTTGAAACCATGAACGTGTCTAGTCCTCTCAAAGTTCACAGAGGAAAGCGCAAGAAAATTTGCGGTACCGCGACCGGCTTTAAACCGCGTGTGGCGCTGTCACATTCAGTTCCATTTATTTTCACCGCAACAGTGATCTAAAAGTTCGGGCTTGCGCCGCGTACAAAACCAAACCCCACCATTCAGCAATTATCAATTCTCTGGGACGCGCTAGTAGGCCTTTTAAACGCGATAAAGGATAAGGATAAAGCATTTGCCGTTGATCAATCCCTTTTGGGATGCGGCACATTCTACTTCCATTTGTACATTCGTAGTGGCGTTTGAATGCGATGTGGCCTATACAATGACTTGCGGGGGCCAGCCGATGTACAAGTCAGTGTTTTTATCCTCCCAGACAAGTCTGGTACCAATTAACCGACCCCGGAGGGATGGAAGGCTTGGTTGGCCCGGCGACTCACGACCCAGGATTTGATCCCGGACCGCTCGCGTGGTGAGCGCGCCACTTGTCACTACACCACTTCCGCCCTTGAACAGCGATAAACCCATCAAATGACTCGTAGAGCAGTCGTTGTACAACTCAGTGCCGGAAAGGTGGTAGGTTTGGTTGACGTGGGACAGCGTTTAGGATCCAGGATCTCTTTTTGATCGTGCGCGTGTCAACATTGGGCCAACCCCCCCCCCCCCCCCCCCCCCCCCCCCCCCCCCCCCCCCCCCCCCCCCCCCCCCCCCCCCCCCCCCCCCCCCCCCCCCCCCCCCCCCCCCCCCCCCCCCCCCCCCCCCCCCCCCCCCCCCCCCCCCCCCCCCCCCCCCCCCCCCCCCCCCCCCCCCCCCCCCCCCCCCCCCCCCCCCCCCCCCCCCCCCCCCCCCCCCCCCCCCCCCCCCCCCCCCCCCCCCCCCCCCCCCCCCCCCCCCCCCCCCCCCCCCCCCCCCCCCCCCCCCCCCCCCCCCCCCCCCCCCCCCCCCCCCCCCCCCCCCCCCCCCCCCCCCCCCCCACCCCCCCCCCCCCCCCCCCCCCCCCCCCCCCCCCCCCCCCCCCCCCCCCCCCCCCCCCCCCCCCCCCCCCCCCCCCCCCCCCCCCCCCCCCCCCCCCCCCCCCCCCCCCCCCCCCCCCCCCCCCCCCCCCCCCCCCCCCCCCCCCCCCCCCCCCCCCCCCCCCCCCCCCCCCCCCCCCCCCCCCCCCCCACACAACACCCCCCCCCCCATTACTTGTATATTTTGAAATACATACCTCTTTTTCAGCCGCTACAATTGGTAACGCGAAAGACTTCAGCGACGTAGATTTGGCGAAGATCAATCGCATGTACAGCTGCCCGACCGAAACCAAGCAACAAACGGCTCCGTTTGCCCGAGCACAGGTGACGAATACTGTAGTATACCGTAATCATGCTATAAGCACCACTCTTGCTTGCTTTAGCATAGTCCGATCTACCAAGCAATCAACAAGTACGATGATCGACCGAAGTTGCCGTCGCAGTACTACGACGGGATGCAAAATTCCTTATCAAACAACAAACCACAACGTATTCATTTCACCGTTTGGTATTTAAGCTTGGGAAAAATGCTCACATCGGATCGGGATTTTTCGAATTTTTTTTCTACTCGAATATCCTAGTTTTTGCGTTAAAAACTCATCAGGTTACTCAAAGGCGGATGGTAAAATGAACTGCCCGTCCGTTGAGGAGATAGGTGATCCAGCGAGAAAAAAAATCACGACCTTAAACAAGAGAAATGAAACTCGTTCTGGTGCAACACCTGTGAGAGCCACACGAAACAATTCGAATACGGTAGGCGGAAAATGTATGTACCCTCGCCTTCAAATGACCAGAAATTGTGCAATTGCAGAAATTGACGTGGCATTAACGTGGCATCGATTCAAGAACATCTTTGAGCACACGTGATGTCACCTTTTCATCGAGAATTTAGCCACGTGTGCCAATGCCACGTCAATTTCTGCAATTGCACAATTTCTGGTCATTTGAAGCAGGCGGTAGGGTAAGTTGGGCTGCTGGATGCTACGATGAGGTGACGAGATGTTATGAGGCAACAGGTTATGCATGTAAAGTGACTGCCCTCACCACCCACTACCCTAGATTCGCTGGCAACTGATCGTGGCCCATATTCTCTCGTGGCACAGCGTAGAGGGTAGTAGAAGTCACTTAAACATTTATTCCGTGGCCTACCGTAACTCAAAAACAGGGTGTGCCCATCCCATCTTGTATTGCAACCTCATATCCTCGCGTTGCTTACGCTAGCTAACGTCATCAATGTGAACCTATTGTTCTGTTGTCTGCTCAAAGGACTAAAGTGCTGATGGAAAGGGAACAGTGGCTAAGGCAGCTAACGAAAGGGGCGAAAATGCACAAATGTTCATAGGAATGGGTTTGCTACCGGCGCGTTCTTCTCCGCGAAAGGGCCACGTCTTGTTCCCTCATAGCCCTGACTTTCATTAACAGAAGGCAAGACTATCCCTTACATCGAGTTCATTGTACTACCTACCTTTGTGAGCTCTTTCCAGCTGAGCGTATTGGCGAGTTAGTCGTAGTAGCAAGATTTTTTCAAGAGAGGGTTCTCCATCTCAGGAGTAATCGCCATTGAAATGGGTACTTCCTCACAACTAACTCAGTACAGACAATCAGCGTCTAATGCGCTTGTATAAGAACAGCTTAGCAGATGCAGTTGCGAATGTGCGATCGTACCAGCGATTCGGCCGCGGTCGCACGATCGCGTTGCGCTACTGAGCCACCGCATTACTGGCCGCAGCGACCGCCCACGCCAGTGATTCCGTTCGATTTGTAAAATTGACACTGGCTTTACGTGAGGCGAATCATATACTTCTTTAGCAATACGCATGCGCTCCTAGATTCATGCTCAAGTCAAATTCAAAGGCGTGGTCACAGTCGTGTGAAGGAATAATCGTGTGAACAGTTTTTTCTAGAACGGACCATTAAATCTCATAATTAAGGATGTGAGGATAAGATCACACCGTATGCTGGTGGACAGCGGATCGATGCCGTGCGCCTGCCATCTACGCCATGATGACTTCACATTTGTCCGCACTTGCGGGTTTTGCTAGTCTTATTTTTGATCGCCGTGTCTATTACGTATCTTCCATGTCGGATAGTGCAGCTTATTGTCAGAGTTTCCTCTCTTTTTATCGCTTCTATCGCTTCCATCCCCGTGCATCCTTTCCCGATGAACTCACCACCTCCCTGTATATACCGTAACCAGCTATGCTTTCACTTCTATTCCAGTCTTTCTTCGCCTTACTTTTCCTTGTCGATTACTGTTACGGGTCATGCATTTTATTATTGACAACTGTAAATTACAATTCGCTAGTTGAATAAATTTCTCATTGACTGTATGTGTGTTATCCGCTAGGCGCAATAGTATTATACCATAGATGTGAATAGCTGAACATCAAAGGCTAACCCCTCCCCCCCGTATCATTAGGGTAAACAGCTCAAGTGACCATATTTTGGATGCCGGGGTACTTGCAAATCCATACAGAAAAGCGAGGAAATCGACGATCGGCCTCAACAGAGGCGACCGCTCTCCCCCTCGAACTAAAGAAAGAGTGTCGCCTGGCAGAGCTGTCCCAAACTAGCTTGCTTCGCCGGGTTCAGCGGTCGTTGCCTGCAAGAAATCGGCTGCAACCGCCATGCACGATACAACAAGGAAATTCGACAAACTAAAGATTAAGCAATAATCCAATCAAAGGAAATGGCAGCACTTCTTCTAGTGCGGCTACATTCTACATGCAGTCGCACAAAAAACCACGCAGCGATTCACGCAGTCGCGCAAGGAATGCGCAGCCACGCGATCTCCACGGCTATCAAGTGGCGCGTCCTAACGGACGACTGCGAATTTGGCCAACCCTATTATGGAGGACTTTCAAGGTGAATTTTCAGCGACACTTCATACGCTTTCGACGAGGATTCATGCCTCTTGTTATTTCATTAGTAGTCAAATATGGACCCGCTCGGGGTGTACTGTAATCTTGCCCAGGCAGGTCGAGTTTCTTATCCCAGAAGGTGAGGTTGAAATATTACCTGAGGAGTATGATAAGACTAGCTTTTACAAGAATGCTGGGTTGAACAAAACTTTCGCCCCAGACAGGATTCGAACCGCACCCTCGTTTTGTCGAACGGGTTTCGCATCCCGTGTGGGCGCGTTTTGTTCCACCAGGACAAAAAAAAATTTTTTTTCTGTGGCAACTTCGCAAGGCAAATTGCGGCCAAAACAAGCAGTGAACAAACAAAAACTAGCTTTTACGTTTGCTGAACTTCGTTGGTCATTATGTGAGTCATTGAGAGGATACCACATCCTATGGAAAAGTAGATGGCGTGTACCCAAGGAACTGATCTTAACGGCGAAATGACTCATACCATTGTGTATTATGGTGGCGTGTGAGTTTTGCCAGAAGTTCGTGCATCATGGAAACTAGGCAAAAATTGGCGCATGTGACATATGTCAAACGAGTGAAATAGGTAGTCGCGTTTTCGCATATCTTAAAGCGAGAGATTGCGATAGGATTCTGTTGTGCTCATAGTGGAAGTGAAGATGCTGAATAATGCCCTAGTAGCGAAAAAAGCAAAGAAATCCGTCAAAAACGCGCAAAATGGGACCACTTCCTCTGCCCGTTGACCTCCGATAATGGACGAGTTGGCAACCAACTAAGAGGTCGTCGGCACTCGTTAAACCATAGCTGCCATCATACCACCAGAGATCATACCTTGATTGATATAGCATTCCATGAGAAAAAAATTGGATACGCGCTCGAAGTGGCATACCTTATCAGAATGATAATCGAACAGCGATCTGCTGAGGGGCGGAGCACAGGCGGAGGCGGAGCTCAGAAAGGATTGGCAGCCCCAGGGCGCTGCAACGAGCGCACCTTTAGTCACAAAAAGGCCACATCTCGATTCCTTTGGGCTCTAGCTACTGCTTGAAGTGCTGCTCGTTCTTCCATGCTGCACAGAAATTTTATCGTAATTTCTCGCTTTAAAGTGGTTCCACTCAGAGTCGAAGCGATCTAAACTGGTGCGAATAAGTAGTGGTCGCTATGCTACGCTCACGTCTCTAGCAGCGGATTCGGGAGAGACTCAACTGGGAAACTATCATTACAGAAATTTTATTGATTGACTAGAAGCAAACCAACAAATGAACACAAAAATATGCGTAATTGTGTCGGTTACATATTTTGACATTGTCCTGCAGTAGAGCTCGTGGAGAGAGGGGCAAAAAAGTCATTTTCCCTATGGGGCACATTAGCAAACTTTTCGTTGCACAGAGTGTCAGTGTTGGTGAAAGTTCTACGGCAAAGTGTTCCCTAGATTTTCTTCCATAATCGAGAGCACACCCTCCTTCACTGCCCTCACTGTTTTCTGATTACGGCGTCGTCACCTGC